CTTGGCATCTTTTGGGAGGAGGCTGAATGTTGTGGTGTGGGAGGTCTGACGGTCAGGCAGGCTGACAGGGAGCTCCGGACAGGGCTTTTGGGTGGTAGAGTGTGGGATGGCTAGGGCTGGAGGCTGCCTGGTCCAGTATCTGTCTCCTACTCTGCTCAGTGCCAGGCTCCTTGCATGTGCTGCCAGCTCCCAACCCATGGATCTGGGTGATGGAGGGAGAAGCCTCCCAGGCAAGCACTGTCAGATTCAGCTGTGAAACTTCAGCAGCAGCCATGCCCCCGTCCCCCCATCCTCTTCATCTTGACCCCCTCCCAGGCTCCTTGGAGTAGCAGTGGGTGCCTGAGTCTCCAGGGACACCTGTGACCACTGGGAACTGCATCCCTTGGCTTGGCTGGACTGCCCAGCTTCAGGCTCTGGGCATGACACCTGGAGTGGGCTAGAGGCAGAGCCTGGGGTGACCCCACTCCCTCAGGCTGCCCTGCTTCGTGGGCAGGACTGGGACCTCATTCCCATTCTTCTGGGGTCCCTGAGGGGCAGTTGCCCATGAACCACAGTGAGCAGGATACAGACTTCTCTGAGGTGGAATAATTTACTGTGGTGTGGATGGGCAATGGGTGCCTGGGCTGAGTAATGGCAGGGGTGTGTGTGAGGGATGCAGCAGGGCTGATCCGAGGGGCTTGGAGGTGGACCCCACACACTGAACCCTGTGGAATGGGAGATGGGGGAGCCCAGGTAGGGGCCAGTCTGGGGACAATTGGGTAGGAGGGACCTGCCTTAGCTAAGTCTCTGTGAAGGGCTGGGGTGTGTTGGTGGGCTGGAGTAGGGGTTCTGGGGGCTAAGGGTCTGGGCCACGTCATCAAGGAGCTGGGCGGGGGACACAGGCGCAGGGTAGGAGTCTCAGGTGTAGCCAAGTGGTCCCAAGAGGGCCAAGCAGGGATCCTAAGTGAAAGCAGGAGTCTCTGGGCTGCTGGGCAGGGAAATTGGGAGTAGCTGAGGGCCTCTGGTGCAGACCAGGGCTCACAAGCATGCAGAACAATGGTCCTGGGTGCAGTCTAAGCTCCTGGATGTGGGCAGGGGTCCTGGGAGCAGAACAGGGGGCCCAAAGGTGCAGAACAGGGCTCTCAGGTGGAGGCAGGGGTTCTGGCTGTGGGCCAAAGCTCCCACAAATGCAGCTGGGAGTCCTGGGGCTGCAGCCAGGGATGCCAGAGGTATGGAGCTGGGCCAGTGCAGGAGTCCTGGGAGAGGGTGGGGTGGGCAGAGCCCTAGTTCTGCC